GCAGTAGCAGCTGCTGCTGTTGCTGCTGCAGCAGCTCATACCCCCAAAAGGAATACCCACGTGCTGCTAACAGCAGCACAATATAAGCAGGGCCCCAACCCCCTTCCGCAATAACTAGGGGGCCCCCATAGGGGGGGCCCTTTAAGAGGGGCCCCCCGTGTGGGGCCCCCTTTGAGGGGAGGGAGGGGGGGCCCCCCGGGCCCGGAAGAGGAGGGTTTAGGGGCCCCTGCCTTTGGTTTCTTTGCTGCTGCTGTATTAGGGGGGGCCCCAAGGGCCCCTCAGCAGCAGCAGGGAAGCAGAAGGTAGAGTGTTGCTGCAGTGCAGCAAGAGTTGCTGCATCAGCTGCTTCCTGCAGCAGCAGCAGCAACTGCTGCTGCTGCTGCTGCTGCCACTCCCTTTGCGGGTTAAATAGACGTAGACCCCACTGACGCAGCTTCCTAAGGGGGCCCCCCTTCTTACCAGGGGGCCCCTCTTCCTTATAGAGAAGATGCCAATCAGGCGGGGGCCCCCCCACAGCAGCAATACCCAATACGGGTAAGGGGGTGGGGCCCCCCTTGCTGCTTGATAGCCACCTTAGATTATCTCCTGCTGCTGCTGCTGCTGTTTCTGCTGCTGCTGTTGCCGCTCTTGCTGCTGCTGCTGCTGGAGAAGGATTAGAGGGTTCACGCTGCCTCCACAATCCCACACCGAATCCCCAGGGTCTGCTGCTGCTGCTGCTATTGCTGCTGCTGCTGCTGCTGCTGCTGCTGCTCCTACCAGCAGAAGCAGCAACAGCAGCAGCAGCAGAAGTTGCAGGTATTGCTGATGGAGGAATTGAAGCAAAACCCTCAGCTAATAAAAGTAACCCAAATGCCTCCAGCTCACCCCACAGAGTTGCTGCTACTACTTGCTGCTGCTGCTGCTGCTGCTGTTGCTGTTGCTGCTGCTGCTGCTGTTGCTGTTCGTGCTGCTGTTGTTGTTGTTGCTGCTGTTGCTGCTTTGCTGCAGCGGCAACAGCTGCTGCAGACGCAGCTTTACGCCTTTCTTCTGGGGTTAATAGCCGCCTATCTGCTTTGCTGCTGCTGCTGTTGCTGCTGTTGCTGCTGCCGTCGTTGCAGTTGCTACTGTCGCTGCTGCAGCTGGTGCTGCTGTCTTCCTTGCTGCTGCTTCCCTGAGCAGGTACGTTCAGGCCTCGAGGTACTGCAACAGCAGCAGCAGCAGCAGCAACCCCACAAGATAGACACACATTACACTGCAGCAAACTGTGCAGCAGCAGCAGCAGCAGCAGCAGCGATGTTTTTTCTTACCTGGTGTTGGGTGTATCCCTTGGTCCTCGGTGTCCCCTGCTGAGCTATCAGCAGCAGCAGCAGCAGGAGATGCTGCTGCAGCAGCAGCAGCTGCTGCTGCTGCTTGTGGGTCCTGACGCACAGGAGGCTGTGGGGCCTCTATTGTCTGCTGCTGCTTGTGGGGCAGCAGCAGCAAAGTTGGCGTTGCTGCATGCATTTCCAATAGGGTTTGACAGATATCGGGGGCTGCTGCTGCTGCTGCTGCTGTTGCTGCTGCAGCAGCTGCAGCAGCAGCAGCAGCGGCGGAAGCTGCCGAAGCACCATCAACACTACCACTGCCGTTGCTGCTGTCTTTGCTGTCTTTGCTGCTGCTGCTGCTGCTGAGGTACAGAGGCTGCTGCAGCAGCCGCTCTACAGAGGGGCCCCCACGCAGTACCAAACCAATTAGGGGGCCCCCTTCATTGGGCCCCAAGGGCCCCAAGTATGTACGCAGAGCTGCTAGCCATCGCTGCGCCACAAACCCTAAACCCTAAACCCTAAACCCTCAAGTTAAAATGTTCAAAATGCTGTCATAGGAGATCTAGAGAGCTGGCTGCGGTGCATAGTTCGAAGGGTTTAGGGTTTAGGGTTTACGGGAGGTGATAGTGTGAAGGGTTTAAGAATTAGGGTTTAGGGTTTACCTGCGCATGCAGCAGCAGATGAGCCTCTGCCTCTGGTGAGCCCCAAGGAACCGTCAGCGAATGCTGCAGCACAGAAAACCCTAAACCCTAAACCCTAAACCCTAAACCCTAGATACAAGTTTAATGCTGGTGCCCGCTGACTAAGTATTGAAGGTTAACTTATACGCTGGGCTAACTAGGGTTTAGGGTTTAGGGTTTAGGGTTTGGCTTACGGAAATCCATGGAGGAACCTCCTGCTGTTTCAGTTGTTGCTGCTGTTGCAGCAACAACTGTTGCTGCTGCTGTTGCTGCTGCATGCGGTTGCTGCTGCTGCTGCTGCTGCTGCTAGCAGCAGCAGCAGCAAAATCCCCTGGCAGCAAACCCTCTATTAATACAAAAAGACCAATTGCTGCTGCTAAAGAAATTATTCCTTTTATATTTAGATAACCCCTAAAATTAAATGTAAAGGGCCCCACTGCATGCGCTGCACGTAAACCCTAAACCCTAAACCCTAAACCCTAAACCCTAAACCCTAAACCCTAAAACCTAAAGAAAGAAAAAGCGAGGAAAAGCATAAACCCTAAAATGCAAGAAAGAACAACCATAACCATTAGAAGAAACAATCAGTGCACGACAACGTGATCAGGGTTTAGGGTTCAGTGTTTAGTGTTTGATTTAGGGTTTAGGGTTTAGGGTTTAGGTACCTCTCCATGATATAGAAAGCTTAACTGCATTAAACCCTCCATCACGAATGGCGATTAATAAGCGGCGAATTTGCAGAGGAGAAAAAGGGTTTAGAGGGAGAGATAGACCTATACACAAACCCTAAACCCTAAACCCTAAACCCTAAACCCTAAAACCCTAAACCCTAAACCCTAAAATATAAATTGTTGCATATAATAAACCCTTGATATGAAGAGTATAAAATACTATAATTCGCAAACTACCTCTTGCTACCCTGTCAAGGGTTTAGGGTTTAGGGTTTAGGGTTTAGGGTTTACCTGCAGCAAATAAAAAGGTGGGGTTGTTGTTGATAAGAAATTTGCCATCAGAGAAAACAACAGAAAAAGGATCGCCTTTAAGACTCTTATAACTCACCACGTTGCTGCTGCTGCTGCTGCTGCTGCTGCTGCTGCTGCTGCTGTTGCTGCTGCTGTTGCTGCTGCTGCTGGTGGTGGTGTTGGTGTTGCTGCTGGTGGTGTAGTTGCTGCTGCTGCTGCTGTAGTGTTTAGATGCATCAACAAGACGCTTGTATGTCTGCTGCTGCTGCTGTTCTTGGGGCTGCTGTTGTTGCTGATGCTGTTGCTGCTGCTGCTGCTGCTGTTGTTGCTGCTGCTGCTGCTGTTGCTGCTGCTGCTGTTGCTGCTGCTGCTGTTGCTGCTGCTGCAGTTGCTGCTGCTGCAGTTGCTGCTGCTGCTGGTCGTGGTGGTGGATATGTATATCTTGCGGCCTTGCACATAGCGGTGGCTGATTGCTGCTGCTGCTGCTGCTGCTGCTCCTGCATTCGCTGCTAGGAACCGCTGCTGCTCCCTGCTGCTGGTGCTGCAGCAGCTGCTGCAGGAGCAGCAGCAGAAGGAGACAAACTCGCATAGAATGCATGCGTATTATAAACCTTCTATCCGGGGAACAGCAGCAGCAGCAGCAACTGCTGCTGCTGCTGCCGCTGTTGCTGCCTTCCTCGTGTTGCTGTTGCTGTTGCTGCTGTTACTGCTGTTGGTGGAGCTAGTGCTGCTGCTGCTGCTGCTGCTGCGGCGGCGGCGGCTGCAGCGGCAGCAGCGGCGGCTCGTATTGTTGTTGGCTACCCTTTCTCTCTTTCAGCAGCATATGGCCTTAATATTCAAATTTAGGACTCACGAATTAGGGTTTAGGGTTTAGGGTTTAGGGTTTACGATGACTCAGGAGCCGGGGGGCCCCCAGGCCCTCTGGTGTATGAAATTGTTAGGGTTTAGGGTTTAGGGTTTAGGGTTTGGGATTTAAAATCCGAGTATTTATACTTGTTATTTATTGTTTGAGTTTAAGGGTTTAGGGTTTAGGGTTTAGGGATTAGTGTTTAGGGTTTAGGGTTTAGTGTGTCTGGGGAGGGGCCCCCGTGTGTCTCGAGTCGGCTGCCGTCTGTCGGCAGCCGCAGCGGCTAGGGTTTGAGGGTTTAGGGTTTAGGGTTTAGGGTTTATATTGCATAGAAATAAATTATGTCCTTCTTATTGATTTATTTTAATTATTGTTTGTAAATCGTAAATAGTGTGCAGACCCTCAGTAAACCCTAAACCCTAAACCCTAATCCGTAAACCCTAAACCCTAAACCCTAATTGACTATAATTGTATAATTATATATTGGTGTTTATACACTAGGAAACACTAATTATAAAACAAGGAAAGACAAGCGTAGGGTTTAGCCACTAAGGCAACACCAACTACCTAACAGCAGCAGCAGCTGCTGCAGCGGCGGCAGCAACGGCAGCGGCAGCAGCAGCAGCAGCCTCAGCTAGCAGCAGCAGCAGCAGCAGCAGCAGCAGCTCTAGCAGCAGCCTCAGCTAGCAGCAGCAGCAGCAGCAGCAGCAGCTCTAGCAGCAGCCTCAGCTAGCAGCAGCAGCAGCAGTAGTTGCAGCAGCACGAGGAGCAGCAGCAGCATCAGCAACAACAACAACAAGGAGAAGCAGCAGCAACAACAACAGCAGCAGCTACAGCAGCAGCAACAGCAGCAAAAGCAGCAGCTGCAGCAGCAGCACAACACTAAGAAGAAAGACGTTTAGTGTTGTATATAGAGGGACTATTGCATGCAATAAACAAATAAATAAATAAATAAATAAATAAATAAATAAATATAAATAAATAAATAAACAAATAAATAATATAGGTATAATATACAAATAACTATTTATAAACTGAACAATTCTGCTAACCCGTTAAACCCTAAACCCTAAACCCTAAACCCTAAACACTAAACCCTAAACCCTTGAAAGGATATTTATGTTTATTTACACATATTCTTACGTATATAATAAATTATATATAATAAATAATAATATATATAATATATATATAATATATAATATATATATTATATAAATAATAATAT